GAATGATGTATAATCCTTTGAGTACATACCCAGTAATGGGATTGCTGGGTCAAATGGTATTTCTGGTTCTGGATCCTTGAGGAATCACCACATTGTCTTCCACAATGGTTGAACTAATTTATATTCCCACCAACAGTGTAAAAGTGTTCCTATTTCTCCACATACTCTCCAGCATCTGTTGTTTCCTGACTTTTCAATGATCACCATTGTAACTGGCATAAGATGGTATCTCATTGTAGTTTTGATTTGGATTTCTCTAATGACCATTGATGATGAGCTTTTTTCATATGTTTGTTGGCCTCATAAATATCTTCTTTTGAGAAGTGCCCGTTCATATCCTTCACCCACTTTTTGATGGGGTTGTTTGTTTTTCTTTTGTAAGCTCCTTGTAGATTCTGGATATTAGCCCTTTGTCAGATGGATAGATTGTAAAACTTTCCTCCCATTCTGTAGGTTGCCTGTTCACTCTGATGATAGTTTATTTGGCTGTGCAGAAGCTCTTTACTTTAATTAGATCCTATTTGTCAATTTTGGCTTTTGTTGGCATTGCTTTTGATGTTTTAGTCATGAAGTCTTTGCCCATGTCTACATCCTGAATGGTATTCTCTAGGTTTTATTCTAGGGTTTTTACGGTTTTAGGTCATACATTTCAGTCTTTAATCCATCTTGAGTTAATTTTTATATAAGGTGTAAGGAAGAAGACCAGTTGCAGTTTTCTGCATATGCCTAGTGAGTTTTCCCAACACCATTTATTAAATAAGGAATTCTTTCCCTATTGCTTGTTTTTGTCAGGTTTGTCAAAGTTCAGATGGTTGTAGATGTGTGGTGTTATTTCTGAGGCCTCTGTCCTGTTCTGTTGGTCTATATATCTGTTTTGGTACCAGTACCATGCTGTTTTGGTGACTGTGCCTTGTAGTATAGTTTGAAGTCAGGTAGTATGATGCCTCCGGCTTTGTTCTTTTTGCTTAGGATTGTCTTGGCTATATGGGGCTCTTCTTTTAAAGTAGTTTTTTTTCTAAGTCTCTGAATAAAGTCAATGGTAGCTTGATGGGGATAGCATTGAATCTATACATTGCTTTGGGCACTATGGCCATTTTCATGGTATTGATTCTTCCCATCCGTGAGCATGGAATGTTTTCCATTTTTTGTGTCCTTTCTTATTTCCTTGAGTGTGGTTTGTAATTCTCCTGGAAGAGATCCTTCACATCCCTTGCAAATTGTATTCCTAGGTATTTTATTCTGTTTGTAGCAATTTTGAATGGGAGTTCGCTCATGATTTGGCTCTCTGTTTGTCTCATTGGTATATAGGAATGCTTGTGATTTTTGCACATTGATTTTGTATCCTAAGACTTTGCTGAAGTTGCTTATCAGCTTAAGGAGATTTTGGGCTGAGATGATGGGGTTTACTAAATATACACTTATGTCGTCTGCAAACAGAGACAATTTGACTTCCTCTCTTCCTATTTGAATACTCTTTATTTCTTTTTCTTGCCTGATTGCCCTGGGCAGAACTCTGTTGATTAAGAGTGATGAAAGAGGACATTCTTGTCTTGTGCCGGTTTTCAAAGGGAATGCTTCCAGCTGTTGCCCATTCAGTGTGATATTGGCTGTGGGTTTGTCATAAATAGCTCTTACGGTTTTGAGATACGTTCCATAAATACCTGGTTAATTGAGAGTTTTTTTAGCATGAAGGGGTGTTGAATTTTATCAAAGGCCTTTTCTGCATCTTTTGAGATAATCATGTGGTTTTTGTCATTGGTTCTGTTTATGTGATGGATTACGTTTATTGATTTGCATATGTTGAACCAGCCTTGCATCCCAGGGATGAAATCCAACTTGATTGTGGTGGATAAGCTTTTTGATGTGCTTCTGGAACCAGTTTGCTAGTATTTTATTGAGGGTTTTTGCACTGATGTTCATCAGAGATAATGGCCTGAAGTTTTCTTTTGTTGTTGTGTCTCTGCCACGTTTTGTATCAGGATGATGCTGGCCTCATACAATGAGTTAGGGAGGAGTCCCTCTTTTTCTATTGTTTGGAATAGTTTCAGAAGGAATGGTACCAACTCCTCTTTGTACCTCTGGTAGAATTCGGCTGCGAATAAGTCTGTTCCTGCACTTTTTTTGGTTGGTAGGTTATTTATTACTGCCTCGATTTCAGAAATTGTTATTGGTCTATTCAGGGATTCAATTTCTTCCTTGTTTAGTCTTGGGAGGGTGTATGTATCCAGGAATTTATCCATTTCTTCTAGATTTTCTAATTTATTTGCATAGAGGTGTTTATAGTATTCTCTGATGGTAGTTTGTATTTCTGTGGTATCAGTGATGATATCTCCTTTATCATTTTTTATTGCATCCATTTGATTCTTCTCTCTTTTCTTCTTCATTAGTCAGGCTAGCAGTCGATCTATTTTGTTTTAAAAAAAACAGCTCCTGGATTCATTGATTGTTTGAAGGGTTTTTCATGTCTCTATCACCTTCAGTTCTGCTCTGATCTTAGTTATTTCTTGTCTTTTGCTAACTTTTGAATTTGTTTGCTCTTGTTTCTCTGGTTCTTTTAATTGTGATGTTAGAGTGTCAGTTTTAGATCTTTCCCACTTTCTCCTATGGGCATTTAGTGCTATAAATTTCCCTCTAAACACTACTTTAGCAGTGTCCCAGAGATTCTGGTATGTTGTATTTTTGTTCTCATTGGTTTCCAAGAACTTATTTATGTCTGCCTTAATTTCATTATTTACCAAGTAGTCATTCAGGAAGAAGTTTTCAGTTTCCATGTAGTTGTATGGTTTTCAGTGAGTTTCTTAATCCTGAGTTCTAATTTGATTGCATGGTGCTCTGAGAGACTGTTATGATTTCCGTTCTTTTGCATTTGCTGAGGAGTGTTTTACTTTCAATTATCTCATCAGTTTTAGAATAAGTGTGATGTGGTGCTGAGAAGAATGTATATTTTGTTGATTTGGGGTGGAGAGTTCTGTAGATGTCTGTAGGTTTGCTTGGTCTAGAACTGAGTTCAAGTCCTGAATATCCTTGTTAATTTTCTGACTCGTTGATCTGTCTAATATTGACAGTGGGGTGTTAAAGTCTCCCACTATTATTGTGTGGGGGTCTCAGTCTCTTTGTAGGTCTCCAAGAATTTGCTTTATGAATCTTGGTGCTCATGTATTGTGTGCATATATATTTAGGATAGTTAGCTCTTCTTGTTGCATTGATGTCTTTACTATTACATAATGGCCTTCTTTGTCTTTTTTTATCTTTGTAGTTTAAAGTCTGTTTTATCAGAGACTAGGATTGCAACCCCTGCTTTTTTTTTTTTTTTTTTTTTTCCCTTTCCATTTGTTTGGCAAATATTCCTCCATCTCTTTATTTTAAGCCAGTGTGTCTTTGCACGTGAGTTGTGTCTCCTGAATACAGCACACTAATGGGTCTTGACTCCTTATCCAATTTGCCAGTCTGTGTCTTTTATATGGGGCATTTAGCCTGTTTACTTTTAAGGTTAATATTGTTATGTGTGAATTTGATCCTATCATTATAATGCTAGCTGGTTATTTTGCGCATTAGTTGATGCAGTTTCTTCAAAGTGTCGATGGTCTTTACAATTTGGTATGTTTTTGCAGTGGCTGGTACAGGTTTTTTCTTTCCATAAGCAATTTTTATTTCATGTAGATCTGCTGGCAGCAAATTATCTTCATTTTTCTTTACCTTAGAATGTCTTGATATCTGTTTCATCCTTAAAATATATATATTTTCTGAATATAAAATTTGGTGTTGACAATTTTCTTTCTGAACTTGAAAAGTGTTTTCTTATTTGCTTTTGACCTCCACAGTTTCTGATGGGAAATTCTCTGTCATAAAAATAGATTTTTACTTACAGGTAGGGTCTAATTTCCCTTTCATTGATTTCAAGATTTTTTCTTTGTCTTTAATTTTCAAAACTTTCGTGATAATTTTCTTGGTCGATTTATTTGAGTATATTCTGTTTGGAATTTGTTCACCTTCTTGAATCTGTAGTTTTATGTCTTTTTCCAAATGGTGAAGCTTACAGCCATTATTTCTTCAAATAGTTTTTTCTCTTTTTTTTTTTGTCTCATCTATATCCCCTCTCTTTCAAAGACTCTAATCACACAAACGGTAGATATTTTTGTTATAGTCCCACAGATTCCTTATGCTTAATGTATTTTTTTCCTTCTATTTTCTTTATGTTGCTCAGATTGGGCAATTTCTATTGTTCTATCTTTTATATCACTGCTTCTTTCCTCTGTTCCCTCCAGGCTGCTGTCAGACTTATCTATTGAGGTTTGTTTGTCTGTTTATTTAGGTTATCATATTTGTAGTTCTAACTTTTTTTATTTGGTTCTTTTGTATACTTCTTTTCTGAGACTTTCTATTTCTTTAAGAGGCTTTAAAATTTTTTTTCACTTCAAGAATATTTGTAATTGCTCATGGAAGCATTTCTATGATGGCTGCTTTAAAATCTTTGTTAGCTGGGCACAATGGTGTGCATCTGTAGTCCCAGATACTCACGAGGCTGAGGTCAAAGGATCACTTGAGCCCAGGAGTTTGAGGTAACGGTATGCTATGCTTGTGCCTGTGAATAGCCACTGCATTCCAGCCTGGGAGGCAAAGGTAGATCCCATCTCTTAAAAAAAAAAGACAGATATTAAAAGCTTATTTGTTATATAATTCACTCTAACATCTTTATCACCTTGGTATTGATATCTACGGATTGTCTTTTCTTTTTTTTTCCATTCACCTTGAGATATTTTTGCTTTTTGCTGTTTTGAGTAATTTTTTACTGAAACATGAAATTTTGCATGTTGTGTTAAGGGTCCCCGGGTCTATTTAAGCTTTCTGTACTAGCTGATTTCCTCTGACACTGCTCCAGCATGGGAAAGGGATGGATGTTCCTTGCTACTGGCAGGTCAGGGAGAAGAAGGGCAGGTTCCTTACATGATCTATGCTGACACCTAAGAGTGGGTGTCCTCTGTGACGTCCACTGATATTTTTCTTGATAAGAGAAAAAGGAATGCTTTATTATTTATCCCATGTGCCTTCCACTGTCACCACACTTGGGGGATATGTCCTCACTGACATTGGTTGGGGGCAAAAGTTCTAACTTTCCAGGAGGGCTCCTATGACATCACCATAGTGGGGAGGGGTACTTCATAACTGTTGAGTATGCCAGGAAATTCAGGCTCCCCAAGTAGTCTACACTGGAAGTATGGGAGGAGCCTTGTTGCCACCTGATAGAGATGAAAGTCCCAGTATCTACTCAGTCTCTCTGACACCACAGCAGGAACGTTAGGGTAACTTGTTAGAGCCTGGTAAGGGTGACAACCCACTCAGCCTATGCTGGCATAGGCAGAGGTAGGGACACAGTTCTTTCTGTGGTGTTTAGCTGGAGTAGAACAGTTACAGTATGCAAGTTTTCTGTATTACTGGGTTGCCCCTTTCCTGGTCCTTTTGCTAAAGAGAGCAGGATTTTATTTATTTATTTTTATTTTTTGTCTGTATTCATTGGCATTTCTGGGTTGCTAACTTCTTCAGTTCCAAGTCATATGAGTCCAAAAGAAAACCCAAGGAGCTTACCACTATGTCATTTCTTGTGCCCTGAGTCGTGTAGATGGTCTGCTTTCTTCTCACTATCTTTTAGAGTCTCCATATATTTATTTTATATAAAATGTCCAAGGTTTCTAGTTATCATTAGAAGAAAGAATGGGAAAAGCCTGTCTACTACAGTTTCCTGGAAGAAGTTTCGAGAATTATTTTAGATAATTAAGTGATTGAAAAAAAGATAAAAGGAAGAATACCATTTCATGACACATGAGAATTACATAAAATTCAAAATTCAGTGTCTATAAGTAACGTTTTAATGCAATATAGTCACATTCACTTACATATTGTCTACAATTCCTTTTGTGCTACAGTGGCTGAGGTTGAGTAACTGTATCAGAGAGTCTATGGTTCGCAAAGCCTAAAATATTTACTGTCTGAGCCTTTAAAGAAAGTTTGCTGATACCTGGCTTACATCATGGAATTACTTACATTTTATTAACAGTGAGTAGAGTACCTCCTCTACCAAAACTAAGAGAAAAATGAATGTATAAATTCAGATAGACTGTACTCAGTTTTAGGGAAATATAATTATCTATAGCAATCATAAGTAAATCCCCATACTGTTAAAAATGTATATATACAGTTTTTAGTTTACGCCAAAAGCTACTCAGCTTATGTTGAATAAATTTTCCTTAAACATTGATGTCAAAAATCACTCTTTTACCATTCTTGGTTAGTGCAAAATTTTTTACTTGTAATTTTTTCTTCTAGCAAAGTCTGCTACAAATACTGTTATATATTTTTTCTACTGTCAAAATATTCCCCAAGAAACCTGAATGTTCCCACAAATATTTCTTATTATAAATGTTTTTGTATGTTTGTAACTTATTTTGCATGTTGAAATTCTATAACCAAGGTTGCAAGGTTGTCATTGTTATAGTGTTAACCATAAGAGTCATAAACAGCAAGTCGAACACTAAACTTGAAAGACATTATGCAAGAAAAGAACACCAAACCAATAGTATTATTTCCCATTTATCTAACCTTTCAAGGGCACTTAGCAGCTAGAAGATTATAAATACAGACAGATTTCATGATTAGAAGGTTCATTAGTAAGAAGGTACAGAATACTAATCACAAGACTTTCATTTGCACTGACAAGGTCTGACCTCGCTAGCATTCATCAGTGACAGTGGAATTGCTCCCTGGTGGTATCAACCACATGAAACACACAGAAAACATGTTTTTCGTGGAGGAATTCATCAAAAGTAAGCAGAACTGTATCACACACCATTGCTTCCAGGAGTTCCCCCAGAGAATAGCTAGCATCTTATCTGAATCAGTTTGTTTGGTCTGTAAAATATAAAATGTTCAGAGAAACTCTGCATGTTAAAGAAAGTTTAAGCTTTGAAACCTTGGAACAACAACTATCATTTCACATGACTCTTCATCTTAAATCATCGAATTGACCATGAATAGGTGCTTTGGTCAATATTAAATCTAGAAACATAGATATAGTATACTCTGATATTAACTATTTAGGAATTATAAATATTATAAACTCTTGTAAATATTTCCATTTAAAAATACTGTGGCACTAAAATGATTATTACATTAAATAAATAAAATTGCATATTTTAAGTCTAGAAGTGCATTTTCATATTCCAATTATAAGTGTGTGTCAAGCGACTCTTTTCCTAAATGTCATTATTTTCTATGAAAAATGCCTTCATTGTCTGAAAGCCTTTTACTGAGTTCCGAGGTTTGTGATTGGACAAAACTGAACACAATTTTCTCATCTGCAAATAATTTACTGCTGATTTGTTGTAAAGTTAGCTAATTAAATAATTAGAAATTGTGTAAAATACAATATAATTTAGTGGAAGCACTAAGGCTCTGGAGTCAGACGGATCTGATTTTGAATCCTTTTAATTGCTTAACCAGTTACTGGACCTCAGTTTACTTATCTGCAAAATAGGAAAATACTACCCAACATCTATGCAGGGTTGAAATAAGTGTTAAGCAAATGGTGTTTATTATAACCAAACTCCAAATTGTGTAATAAATACTTTAAATACATTTACAGAAAAACAAGTAAAGAAGATCAACGAGGTAAGTGAAAATCTAATTGAGTTGAGAGTTGGCTGGGCCTTAAAGATTCTCTGTTTATTATAACAATAACTTATTATTTTACATTTTAATGTTTCTGAAATTAATGTTAAAATACATGGACAATGAATCAGGTCATGATTAAATTGTGTACAGTTAGCATTGTCTACATACCGGCCAGCTTATGAGATCCCCACAAGAAGGTGAATTTTGACTTTAATTTGGGTTTTCATCATGGATTAAAATGTCTTCATAAAGATTAAACTCTGATACAGAATTGAAAAGCTTTTATTAAAACAAAATGTGATGAAAGGCCACAGAAGAAACCGAGTTCTCAAAGTAGATCATGAAGCTTTTATTTCTTTAACTTCAAAATAAATACTACAGTTAGACTTTTCAAAATTAAAAAGATAAATACAAAAATGCATATTATAAAGCCTATCTAACTGACCGCCTGTCTCTCAGCCACCCAAGTGTTCTTGCCATGGATAAATAGTTATTGGTCTTTCTTTTTATTTCTTGTAATGACATTTTATGCATATGTAAATAGATAAATTTAATCATGCACCTTTCTTTTTGTAATGCAAGTGTTGCATACATACCATACATATCATTTTCCACATTGCTTTTTTATAATATCCTTTGGAGATTTTTATAGTCAAGCTAATAAATAATTTATCTTTTTTGCTTTAACAGCTGCTTAATGCTCCATTAAGTATTCAGACCATACATTTTAACCAGTCCCCTTTTGATGAACATACAGTTTTTATTCCCCTAAACTTTTATAACTACAGTGAAGTCATAATAATCTTGTACAAAGAACATGGAATTTTCAAATTAGGAAAGGTTGATATAAACTCGTTCATTTTGAAAGATATGCATGCAGGCTCTTGGACATTTCTGAGTGAAGGAGAACAGGAAATATGGTTAGAGACTAGAAGTGTATAAACTATAGGATGCTTTGAATGCTGTGGGATGATAATTCATAATATGACAGGAAATAGTATTGAACTAAGTAAAGTAAGGAGAGGTCATGAAAAGTAGTATTTAAGGAAGATGAATGTTCTGAGTTTTTATTTCCTGGCACCCTGAAATTGTTTAGAGATTTGAGAAAGAGCTTTATAAGATTTCCTTGTTAGAATAAAACTATTGGTGTGATAGATACAAGCAAGCAAGATGACTAAATCAGACAGAAGTTGTAGGAGGAGGTAGAAAATTAGGACCTAAATTCTGAAAGATTAACTCAGATGAGAGAAGCAAGATAATACTCTGACATTCTAGGTAGCAGGCAAAGTCCAGAGTGCAAAAATTCAAGAGTGGATTTAGCAAAAGTATTTCATGAATTTTGAAACTAAGGAATAGGCTATGTGGTCTTTCCCCTATTTATACACTATTCTGAGTTTGAGTGACTCTGGGAGTGTTTATGACTGGGATATCAGGTTGTGATCAATATCTACAAGCACCATGCACTCCTGCTTCTCTCTTGCCATATAGATTTTCTCAGTTTGCTGTTTGCTTTTCAGTAAGATCAAATATATTAATATTTTTTCCTTACAGTATTTTAGTGTTTTATTATTAGTTGAGAAAGTTTTTCCCACTCCAAATCATATAGTCACACCTGTATTCTATTCTACATAGTTTATTGCACTATATTTTTCATTTAAATTATTGATCTATTGGAAATGTATATTGACGTGTAGTGTTAGGCAGGGGAAAATCTTTTCAAAACTCTTTACTGTTATCCTGTGGCATTATTTTCTTAATGTTTTTCCTTTAATTCAGTCAATTCCTTTCATCTCTTCATCTTTAATTTCAAAGATAGTGCAAAACTCCTTTTAGATGGTAAATCTTTTCATAAGACCTGTTTTCCTTCTTTACTCATTTTAAAATATAGATGACTAGTATTTTCCAGCAAACTTTACAGTTAGATTATTTTAGGACTCCCTTCCTGTCTGCTTTCATTCTGTTACTGTCATCTTTCTGAGATCACATCACATCACATCACATCACATCACATCACATCACATCACATTGCATCGCATGGCATCACATCACATTACATGGGAGGGTTGGTTGATATACGTTATACCAGCTCAGTGATTCAGCAGCGTAGGGGCGTAGAGACGGGGCTTGTGTAGTTACAGCAAAGGAATATTTTCTCTGTTCAAGCCTGTGTTTGTTGGTATTATAGTACCTGCCATTAGCTTTCCTGTCTAATTTACTTTTGTATCTAACGTTCATTATGGGCACATGTGTGGCTCTGGCTGACATCCTTCCTAGGAGAGTAGCTTACTGCCTCAGGGAGGAGATGCACCTCAGTCAGAAGAAGCCCTGTTTCCTTGCCATGTGGTTTTTGTATGGTATGGTTTTTCTTTTCCTTGTGTCTCCTGGAAGAGCTTCTTCTGAAAGTCATTAATCTGCAAAAAGGTTTTAAAAATGAAATAATTTCCATCTGTCTTCCATTCCGCCCACTTGGTAGTCCTTACTTTATATTGAAGTTTTAAGTGATTTCCATAAAATGTAGTTATAGCCTTTTTTTTTTTTTTTTTTTTTTTTGAGACGGAGTCTCACTCTGTCGCCCAGGCTGGAGTGCAGTGGTGCGATCTCAGCTCACTGCAAGCTCCACCTCCCGGGTTCACGCCATTCTCCTGCCTCAGCCTCCTGAGTAGGTGGGACTAAAGGCACTCGCCACCAAGCCCGGCTAATTTTTTCTATTTTTAGTAGGGACGGGTTTTACCGCGTTAGCCAGGACGGTTAACCTGACCTCCTGATCTGCCCGCCTCCTGATCCGCTGGCCTTGGCCTCCCAAAGTGCTGGGATTACAGGCGTGAGCCATCAAGCCCGGCTGCCATTTTTTATTGAACAACAGAAACACAGACATCATGATACTTTCCATACTTTATCTTATTTGGAGAAATAATAAAACACAGTGGTTAAGAGCATGAACTATGAATACAGAGTATCTGATTTCCAATCACAGGTCTTCCCTCACAAGCTGTGAAAATTGTTCAATTTGCTTAACTTCTCTGTATTTTGGTTTCCTTTTCTGTAAAATGGTGTTATAATTCAAATAAATTAGTATATAAAATACTTAAAGCAATGCTGAGCCCATCATAAGCACAATAGAAGTGTTTTGGTTGTTGTTGTTGTCTTTGTTTTAATGGTGGTAGTGGTGGTGGTTGTTACTTGATTTTCACAATAGATCTGTAAGGTACCATTTAAGAAACGGGCTTAAGAAACAGGTTCAGAGATTTTAAGCTTGTATAATATCATGTAATTGCTTGGTATACAGTTGGTATTTATTAAATATTTATTTAATGAATAAAGTTACAATGATAGCATTAAAGCTCAGGACTGGCTGACATCAAAGCTTGAGCTTTTAATCCCTATTCCTCAAAATATCTCTTCTCCTTTTGTCATGGCAAATGAAACCACTTTCTCCAGAATGGAAGTTACATATTGATCCTCCCTGGTGAGAGGTGACAGTGTGCTAGCAGCCTTCACTCTCAGCACCTCCTCCGCCTCAGCATCCACTCTGGTGGCGCTTGAGGAGCCCTTCAGCCTGCCACGGCACCGGCACCGTGGGAGCCCCTCTCTGGGCCGGCTGAGGCCAGAGCCTCCTCCCTCTGCTTGCAGGGAGGTGTGGAGGGAGAGGTGCGGGTGGGAACCGGGGCTGCATGCGGCGCTGGCGGGCCAGTGCAAGTTCCAGCAGGCACGGACACGGGCTCAGCGGCCCCGCACGGGGAGCGGCCGGTGGGGCTTAGCATCTGGGCCAGCAGCTGCCGAGGTTGTGCCGGGTCCCCCAGCAGTGCCGGCCTGCCGGTGCTGCACTCAAATTCTTGCTGGGCCTTAGCTGCCTCCCCGTGGGGCATGGCTCGGGACCTGCTGCCTGCCATGTCCGAGCTCCGCCTCTGCTGTGGGCTACCGTGCCGCCCGAGCCTCCCCAATGGGCGCTGCCCCTTGCTCCATGGCGCCCAGTCCCATGGACCGCCCAAAGGCTGAAGAGTGCAAGTGCAGCTCAGGACGAGCCGGCAGCTCCGCCTGCAGCCCGTGTGCAGGATCCACTAGGTGAAGCCAGCTTGGCTCCTGAGCCTGATGGGGACTTAGAGAACATTTATGTCCAGCTAGGGGATGGTAAATACACCAATCAGCACTCTGT